CCATGATGGCATTATAAGTGCTGTGCAATCTGTTTTCCCAAACGTTATGCATGGACATTGTATATATCACATTCTTGGTAACATTAAGACGTCATTCCGTGGCTCTGCAAAAGCTGTTACATGGAAGTTTATTCGTGCTGCAAAGGCTGCAACTGTTCGTGAACGGAATTGGTATATGAAATTGTTAGATGAGGAGGATCCAGCCATTCAGCCATATCTAGCACGCATTGGATTTTCGAAGTGGTCTCGGGCAGAATCAGCAAACAATCGATACTCAATCATGACATCAAACAACGCTGAGTCAATGAACAGTGTTGATGCTTTAGCCCGCGAGTATCCCATTGCACAACTTATTGATTTCATAATTGTGAGGATGCAAAAATGATTCCATGAACGGAGAACCTTGGCTAATTCTACGTCATCTATTCTGACAAGGCATTATGAAGCAAAGTTGAATGAGCTACATGCTTCGTGTGCAGTCATGAGTGTACGTCTCACAAGGCATTATATTCACATTCTACTGCAGGCATTCTTGTTTATACTATATGTTTTTCATACTTTGACTATCAAGAATATTTTTTTCAGGTTCGCCCATCGTGTGAGTATGAGTTCCAGGTTTTGGACACCAATGGAAGGGCATTTGTAGTTAATCTTCGGTCCAGGACTTGTACTTGTTGTGAGTTCCAGACCGATCACTTCGTATGTGTTCATGCTGTTGCAGCTATTCGTACACGCCCAAGTGTTTCATGCTATGAATATATATCAAAATACTACACTACTTCTGAGTGGATTGCAGCATATGAAGGCATTATACACCCATTGGCTAGTAGAGACAGTTGGGTTGTTCTAGAGGTTGTGTCGGGTATTTTGTGTAGACCTCCCTCATGTTCTAAACGCCCACCTGGAAGACCCAAGAAGCGGAGAATTCCATCCAAGGGTGAGACTACGAGCAGGCAATGTTGCTCCCGGTGTACAATGCCTGAACATAATAAAAAAACCTGCACCAACCCCCTTTCTATCCGTCGCACATAAGTCTTTATGCTAGAGTACCTTTTTTTGGAATGGAGCATATGTTTCTTTCTAATTCATGAACATTTCAAGTCCTTTTGTATTGTCTTTTTGAAATTGATCCTAATATCATGTCATTTCACTCTTTTCTTTAGCTTGGTTGTTTTTACTTTTCATTTGTGTTGAATGCCATGATATTCATGTGTTTGTGGAATGGGTCATTCTGTTTTCCTGTAAATTTTGTTAGATAACAGCAAATATAAAAATATAACCAAAGTCCTAAAGTATTTTCAATGATACCCCCTCCCCCTCCTTCTCCTGCCTTTGCTTTCTAGCCCGGGATTGCCATTTTTGATAAAAGTATTTCATTAGTTTCATTGATAAAGAGATTCCATGTGTTTAAAAGATATTGTTTGCTCGTGACAGTATTACAACGCTAGATTCTCTTGACATTGAATGGTTTGGGTGTGTCATTGATAATGTTAGACACGTCGCACACCTCTAGAGGGGGGGGGGTGAATAGAGGTGTTGCCCAAAAGACCAGTTTTTTGCGCGGAAATGTTCTTCACGAATATTCAATAAAAACAATGCACCACAAACAAAATAAAGTGAAGGATAAGAGCAATGCACACTCTATATATACTGGTTCGGCCTAAATGCCTACATCCAGTCCCCGAAGCAATCGTGCCCAGGCCTTCACTAACCCGTCAAACTTAACGGAGTTTGACAATCCGAATACAACTCGAGAACTTGATTTCACAAGCCTCTTATCTTACCACCGAAGTTTTGATTTCACAAAACTCAGGATTTCTTTCGCCTAACGTTTGATTTCACAAACCGTTAGGATTTCTACCACTTGGTGTAATCCCAACACCAAGAATACAAAACCCTTACAATAAAGTAAGAAAACAAACCGCAACCGAGTAATTCTCCCAACACGGAGTAGATTGTTGCAAATACAATGAAGTCCTTTAGAATATGGCAATATCTCTCAAAGATTCAAGCAATGAGGAAAAAACTCAAGCAAGAAATAATTTAGCAATCAAAACAATTGTCTTGCTTGGATATAAGGATGGGATTGAGTAGAATCTCTTTTGGATATTCAAAGGATATGTTTTTGAAGGTGTTCTAAGTGTTCTTATGAAGATAATCACGAAAGAGGGTTGTTTATAGAAGTTAGGGAGTGGATAGAGATGAAAAGAATTCAAAAAATTAGCCGTTTAGTAGTTGAAACTGTCGAACTATTCGACTAAATCAAGACTTAGTCGACTAGTTTTGGTGAAACTGCAATCTGACTTATTCAACTAGTTCTGGATTTATTCAACTAAGTCAGAATAGAAATTCAGGGATTTATTCGAATAGTTATCAATTTATTCGAATAGTTTGCAGAAAAGAATTTGCTTTAAAGATAGGATGATAAAGGAATGAACCTTAGAGATGCCATACTCTTTAACACAAAATCTAAGACCTATAACACTACCCAACTAAGGAAACAACCTCTTTGGTCTCGTTCCTTCCACCGATGCTCAAGTCCCTTTTTCACGGACGGATATGAACTTGTTGTAGCTTTGATTCCTAGCCTTGATGCACAAAATGATGATGATGTTTTGTCACCCTTTTGTCATTATCAAAACCTAAAATACAATGGACAAAGGACATTGCAAAAATATATATTCATGATAGCACATTGTCCAACAGATAAAAGTTATTTGTTGGAAGAAGTGATTCTGTCATTGATAAAAGTTTACTCACGTGTTAAAAGGTTACTTGTTTACTCTCCTTTAAAAAAAAGTTTCATCAAATACTGTGCCCCAATTTTATCCAAAAAAGTAATGTGATTACTTCAATCACCAACCATATTACAAGATTCTGTCTAAAAAGCATTGATAGTGCACTTACAACCCATATTACTAATAATAGGAAAAGTACTGATACTGCACTTAAAACCCATAGTGCAACTACTACAACAGCATACTTAAACATAAAAGTTTTTTAAACTTGGTTACAT